TTTATCTTTCTTTTCAAGACAATTAAGTAAAAGTTTAAGCAAGCAAAGAGAGACGGAGTAGTCTTTCGATATAAAAATCGAACTTGGAAGAATATACTTAGATGAGACGCGTCCTGAGTAAACAAACGGAGACAATACTTAACAGTTTCGCGTTATAACTCATCTTCTTAAGTCAAGGAGAGCAATGTCAGCCATTCTGATATTCCAAGAAACTGATCACGCTCGACTCATGACGATAAAATATCGGTCATTAAATTAATTAGATCAGAGTGATTGATACATCCTGTAAAGCAGTCTATTATTAGATCAATAAGTGGATGAAATGAATTTGCAAGTATGATCGAGGATCAACATAATATAATCGAATATGCAAACATGAGCCAATCTTAGCATATCCGTAAACGAACGGTAAATGGAATTAAATGTCAATGCAACGTGCTTTGCACGGTTGTATATGTGGAGAACACGTAACGATGCTCCTCTTGCAAGAGGAGATATTGAGATCAAGCAGATATTGAGATCGGATGTCGATATGACGCGAATAAAAAAGTAAAATACACCGCAATGTCGGATCTCAGTGAGTTTTGTATAGAGACTCTTAGCACCTTGTGAGAATCATAAATAAAGAATGCGTCGTGTCAACTGAGACTTCTTCGAATTCTTTCCACTTCAAAAAGGTACTCATCGTTACTCTTAACCCAGGAATAGTTACCTGATTTTTATGTCTCAACAGCGAAAAAATGAAGCTTAGTCGCAATATTTTTTTTATTAACCGAGAATTCATGCCTATCTTTTTTTCATTTTTGTTCTCTGTTTTTATTAGAAAATGTTAACTAAAGCTATATATAAATAGCAATATATACATATTATTTTTCACTCGATATATATAGATATGTATATGAATTGTGACATAATTAATAATGTATAATATGTTAATAGTGATTCTTAATTGGGATGTAAAATTACATCAGATAATAGTTTATGCAAAATAATTAGGAATAACTATTTCTGTGTTAATTCGTATAAAAATATCACAATTTGGCGACGTCTTTTTGCATAAAATACAAAATTCGGGAGGGGATGCACATATTACACAATTCGATATAAATGTTATATATATTTTAGCTTAATGATTACAAACTAATGGCTTTTCTCTCCGGCGTATATCGACAACGTCGTTGTTAGTTACAGAAAAGATTTTTCTTCTCGTGTCCACGGCGTGATCCACGTGTGAGTATTGAGAAAAGTAAAAGATAAATCAGCTTTGGGGGTTCTCTCCTCTCTCCGGATGACGAATGGCAAGGCTCGACGGCATGGCATTTACGCAATGGCATTATAATAGTAACAATAGTACGGCGGTATTTATACAAAATACGGCAGAAGCGAGAAATTTGCGCGCGCACATAAATAAAACCAGGAGAGAAAGAAAGAAAAAAGAGAAAGGAGAAAGAGAGAGAGAGAGAGAGAGAGAGAGAGAGAAGAAAAGCGTTAAAATATATTTTACAATGTTCTGTACAAAATCTTCCTTTAGGACAATAAAAATTCAATCGACGTACATAATCAACAGTGCTATTAAGTGAAATAGTGTATCAATTGTGTATGCATACGTGTTTTTATAATGGTACAACGGATTGCACTTGCAATAATACATGTGAAATAACATTTAACAATGATGCTGGCAAATTACACCAACGATTCGATAAACTAATTCGACAACAAACCATGTCACACTAAACAGAATACTAAAGATAGAGAGAAATCCGTTAAAAAATCGTGTATATATATCACGTCGTTGTAAGTAGTAACTCCTGTGTTTTGTAATTGATGGTGTGTGACGTGTACATAGGCAGAAATGTAGTATATGTAAAAAAATCACGAATCCTGTAATATATATACACAAATTAATTAAATTTCATTAAGTCATTGCACTACAAGTCACCTCGTTACAAGCGTAAAACTTCATCACCATTCATTCCGATTTTTATGAACAAGAATAAATTCGTGGATCATTGAAATTTAAAAAAAAAGAAGAGAAAAGCAAAACGGTCAACATTTACTGCCTCAACGAACACAAGCTCGTTATAACAATTTTGTCATATAATTTTGTCATGTTCGTTGTACAAACTAATTATCTTAATCTATATAGCTTTCCCTTCTCCTCTTTTTTTCTTCGTTACCCGATGAAATAGTAAATGTTAAGCATCTTAAGAACTATGCACTGTTCAACTAAATTATACAATCATTTGATTACATAAAAAAAAAAACAAAAAAACTTAAACATAACTCATATATATGATCTCGATTTTGTCAACTTATTAGCAAAGTTTAACGTTATTTGACACAAATCAATAAATGTTCTAAATTATACGTAAAACCGACGGTAATCTTTATGCGATGCTTAATCCACTATCCATTCGCTAAAATCTCGTTCTATATGTTACATTTGGTATTCCACGAACAGAATACGTTCTCCTCATTTATAAACACGTAACAAAAATAGATAATAATAGATGTATATGTATATAAGTGTATATATATCTATTTATATATTTATACGTATTTGTGTATACATTTATATGCGTTTATGTACAATGATAGATATGTAAAACCTAACAAAGTAGATAGGTAATGCGCTGTTAAACTAATGTACAAAGCTTTTTGTCAAAATACTTCATTATACCTCGACGTGAGCAAGATTTAATCGACATGTATGTATTCGCAGGCATTTCCTTGATATTATTGTATAAAATGTACTGTCATTTCGTTAAAAATCTTAGGCATTCCCTTATTTGACGATTTTAAACCATATTCGATATACTACTAAAGTACGCGAATTATTTACGTGTTTTAGGATACATAATGTATCATACACATATGACATGTATATATTTCGCGTAGCATAAGTCATATGGATTTCAAGTATAAAATTAGATCAACTCGTTTTAATTGCACTTTTTATTTTGCTACTGCTTTATGTTTTTTTACTTTTTAATTTGCTTGTCTTTCTTTTTCACTTCATTCAAAATCAATATAATTTAGCTA